CCAAGTCGAGTGCGCTGTATTTTGTACAGCCAGCCATATTGTTCTGGAGAACATCCTTATCAGGAATGAGCGTTTGTGCCGGAATGGTGGCAGCATTTAGCTTATTGTAATCGTGAACGATACGCCATTTGCCGTTCGGCTTCCGGACACAAATGTGGGTGTCGAGTGGGAAGACTTGCTCTCACGCACCATTCCTGCCTTGTGCTTCGCATGGAAAATAGCATCAATGACGTCACACTGTGCTCTTTGGGCAGGGGTCATTGGCGTGTTACGCAGTATTTGGTTCCCGGAACCTGGTCAATCTCATGACGCACACCTCGGTTCGGTGGTAGGGCCAATGGCGGGACTTTGGAGACAACGTCTTGAAATTCATTTATAAAGGATAATACGAATAGGAGGGATTTAAGAGATCCTTTTGGATTGTTGGACCACTTTGTGCGTTCAGCACTCTCTAAGTGCCCTTCAGGACAGCTTCATTGAGAAGCGACGACGCGTTAATCTCCTCGTTCGGTCTTATAATTACCACCTCGGCTATATTGCCTGCTTTCAAGGTACCGCCAAACTCTACGAAGGACATCTCGTCCAGCTCAAGAAGATCATCCACCGCGGTAATAGCCTCGAGGGTGCCGTCGCCGTCTTTTTCTCCCGTCATCACCATTGACTAGTTTATGTAGCTGTGCGATATCTTCTACGTAGACACACCCTGGGTCAGGGTTGAGGCTCTGTGTCTCATAGATAACATACCGCATCGCTGTCTTCTCTCTATGAAGGTTTTACGTCTCATCAAGCCATGGGAACACGCACTCGGCGTTGTCTAGTGTCCCCACTCCCTGCTCCATCGGAGCCTTGATGTTATTAAAAGAGCTGCTATTTCCGCGATCTTCGTCCAGGGATAACTTGCCACTTCACGCGCATTCCAAGGGCCTTGCCCAGGGTGCCTCGAACTTCGTTTGACCATGCCATTCTTGGCATGCAGCAACGGCTTCGAAACTTGGGCAGTGCTAAGTAAATTTCGTGCCACTCCACGTGCATCGCAAAGGGCTTCGCCTTGATGCCTCGAACTTCGTCCGACCATGCCACA